CCTCCTCCTCCTCCTCCTCCTCCTCCTCCTCCTCCTGCTCCCCTTTTCCCCTTCACGACCCAGCCCGTGCACGCTTGTCGGCCTTGCCAGATGGTGGACCCACATCGATTTGGGGCCCACGCCTTGTTGGTGCTGCATAACTGCCTCACTCGGGGGCCCACAACCGAAGGATAAACAATTGCATGAACGTAAACTGTCGAAGCTTCGCGCGGCGCCAGGAAGGGGGACCCAGCGACGGTGCAAGAAATCTGGGCGGTCCTCCGAAAGTTGATTGTTTTATTTATCTATCTTCCTCTACCCAAGCGGTGCGGTGACCAGTGCCTTGCTGTTCGCGGTTCTCCTCGCGCTCCTCATGTCACGCAGGATGTTTCACCTTGCTGCCAAAGCCAGGGCCCTTGCCCTCGCTGGCCAGTGCTTCTGTCGAGTGGGCCTGGTCTGGCCGCCGCACCCGACGAATTCCCGCCTCGCTTGACTCGGGGGCCCCAAAACGATGCGGTGACCGCAGCGTGTGGTTCGGAGGAGAAACAACGACATAAACATGAACTTTTGGCGCTCCGCGCGGATGTCTCGGATCGGACCCTGAGCCCCCCCTGGCGGCGCCTCCGGCGCCGCCCCTGGCGCGCTCCGCGCTCCGGGGAGGGGGGTCCAGCTCGGATCCAAGAAATCCGCGCGGAGCGCCAAAAGTTTACGTTTATGTAGTTTTTCTCCGTCTAGTGGGGAGTCAGTGGAGATTCGAGGCTGCCGCACGGTTTTGGGGCTCGGGTCGTTCTCCGGAGGTGTTTCTCGGTCGACCAGGGCCTTCTGGTTCCCGAGGGCGTGCGGTGACAGACCGCGCGTTGAGGTCTTTTGGGCGTTCGAGGTCGCCGCACGGTCTGTGACACCGCTTTGAGGCGCCGAAGTCGTTCGAAGAAGGGCAAATTGCATCAAGCATACCCTTCTCGGAAGTCCGCGCGGATAGTTTGATCGACCACCCTGGCGCAGGAGGGGGTGAGCCAAGCACAGATCCAAGAAATCCGCGCGGCCTTTCTAAAATGGATTGTCTATGCAGTCGTGTGTTTTTACAGTGGGGGCCTATGCCAAGAAACACCATGCGCTTGCCTCCAGGGTGCTCTGGGTTTCGAGGGTTTTGTTGTGGAAAGCTTGACGATCCCACACCAAAAATCAGTGGACGTCCTGGGGTCTCAGAGTTGGGTTTCTTGTGGAAGGTTTCTTGTGGACTAGCCTCCACTGTAGAATGTATTTTGCACGTCGCCCTCGGATCTCTCCTTCACGGGTGTCTGCGACTCCTTTTCGTTCGGTTGCGCCGCAATCGGTGCATTCGATCGGTCGGTTCGGTCGTTTGTGTGTCCCTGCGTCCCTCTCGGTCGTGTTCGAGATGTCGGCTCGGCGTTTTGTCTGGGTCCGCCAGCAGACGTTCTGCTCACGGCTGACGGGCCCCCCGCGCTCCGCGTGAGCAGGTGCTTCCTTGATGACCGAGTCCGAGCTGCAATCTAGGTAGAGCAGGGGCGAGCTCGTGCACCGCCCACCTACTGGCCGATTCAGTGGCACGGAGTGAGTGCCTTGGCAATCCGATTCGGTGCCCCCAATGGCCAGTCCCCCCGCGGGGCTATCCAGGAACCCATCCGCGTCCGCACGCTCCGGAGCCAGCTGTTGTTCATTCATATTTCGAGTGTCTCTGGCACACACATTCTTATTTGTGCCGCGTCGTCGGGTTATTGATGATATGTTTCATTGGTTAGTTCATCTTGTTTTTTCTCTCTTCTCGCCGTTTCCACATGCAAACCTGCAGAATCTTCACACACCACATAGAGCGTGTCAACACTTTCCCGCCCCATCCATACCCCCCCCCCGAGTGAATGCGTGGGAGCCTTTTCCCTCCTTCCTCTGCCCCTTCCCTCCTCCACCGTCCTCTTCCTCGAAATCTTATTCCTCCGCCGAAGGGGTGCAGCACCATTGCAGCCAGTTATGGACAGCATCGGGCTCGGGTAATTGTCTTCATCCGTTTCGCACAGCTGATTCTGCCAGTCAGTCCTCCCTCTTCTCTTCCGCTCCCTCCTGCCTCTCCTTTCCCCCATCCCTTCGTCTCCAGTTCGTCCTGTTCATCCTGCTACTCCCCTCCCACTCCTCCTCCACCTCCTCTTTCCCCTCGAGCGCGCTACGAAGGAGCGCGCGAGAGCGCGCGGGTGAGGGGAAAGGATTGAGGACGATGAGGAGGAGGAGGACGAGGAGGAGGAGGAGGAGGATGGCGGAGGGAGGACGGCGGAGGGAGGACGGGGAATGAGGGAAAGAGGAAGGATGATCCACGCTGCCCCCCCTTGGCCCTCCTCTCGTCCGTCCCCGGCCCTCCTCTTCGCTCACGTCGTAGCCGTCGTCCCCCCTCTCCCCGTGGACCTCCTCCTTCGCCCTCCTTTACCTCCTCCTCCTCCTCCTCCTCCGCCTCCTCCTTCGCCCTCCTTGCATCCCCCCGTCCACTCCCCCCTGCCTGCCACGTCGACCACTTCCCGGGGGTCGTCTTCTCATCCTGCGCCGACTCGGGATGAAAGACCCGCCCCCCGTTACGTAGGTGGCCCCGTGTTTGCCATTTGTTCTTGGGGGGGGGGGGGGCGGCCTTGCAGGGCCGGGAAGTGGCGCCACTAGACGCCGAACGACGACGAAAAGCCAGCCGTCGCGATTTTTCTGCAACGCCCCGAACTGGGGGTTGCTCTGCCGTCCTCGCATTCGTCGTCGTCGTCGTCGTCGTCGTCCTCCGACGTCGTGTTTGTCTTGGTCGACCGTCGTCGGCCGTGGTCGTCGTCGTCGTCGTCGTCGTGGTCGCCGCCGTGGCCGTCGTGGGGTGGACCGGCAGGCCGACCGCCTCGGGCTGCGCGAGGGCCCCGCGGCGTCCCGCGGCGGCGGCCAGGGCGGCGTCCTGGTGAGGCCGCGAGGGGCGGTCCCGCCTCCCCTCCCCTCCCCCCTCCCCCTCCCCATCCCTCCCTTCCCGTCCCTCCCTCTCCCCCCCTCCCTTCCCCTCTCCCTCCCTTCCCCCTGGGCTCTCCCCCTCCCCTGCCCTCCCACCAGGGTACGGGGAGCAGCTAGCGGTCACTAGCCGATGAAAGGACAGGCTTCGGTGGGACGGGGACCTTGCAAACTGATCGAAGGCAGTCCCTTACGCAGAACCTCTAAGATGGCAGACGACAGCCAGAAGCTGATCGCGAAACGATCCTCATCCATAGCATCAATGCGCTGCAACAGCGGGCCAATCACCTTGCCCAATCCCTCCAGCACGTGCAGGGACAGCCAGCCCCGCTGCTTGACAGGTTCCACCGAGCACAAGCTCCTGGGACGACCTCCAGCAGGCTTTGCGTCATGCCGCTTCTCTTGGGGCGTCCTTCCAACAAAAACCTCCAAGCATACCTTGCTGCTCAAAGCGCGGCGCGCCAATGCTAGCGCCCCCCCTCTCCCAGTGAGCTCCGTGCGCAGCTGGCACCTGTTCCGTTGCCCTCGCATTGAGCTGCCGCGGGGACTGCCCCACGGCGGCGCCGTCACTGCCCGTGCGCAGTACCACGCAGGCCACAGCGTGTGTACAGCCGGCGTCTCCGTGTCCGCGGGCGTGCGGAAGGGGGGCATTCTGTCTTCGTCACCACACTTGTTTGGCTTCCAGTCGGTGCCCCTGGTAGAGGGCAGTTTCCCAACCACTGCTTCCAAGGTGCAGGCGCCCGCCGGGCAGGCCCGGCGGGCGCCTGCACCCGCGAGCAGACTCCCTGTCCGAACTGGTGCGTTCCCCCCTCACCCCCCCCCATCCCTTCCTTTCCCTTCTCCCTTCCTCCCTTTCCTCCTCCTCATCCCACCTCCTTTCCGCTCGTTCCGTCCTCCTTCCCCCCCTCGTCCCACGTTCTTCCCTTTCCCCCCATCCACCCTCCTGCTCCTCTCTTCCGGCGCCTTTTTTTTGGAGTTCGGGCGTGCAGGCGGGCCTTCGAGCACTCGGGATGTTTCTGGCCGCGCCCGGGGGGAAAGGCAACACATAACCCGCACCTGCGCTTTCCGCGGCGCCTCCCGCCATGCGAGGCAGGCCCGTGCAGCCCTGAACTACCCGCTGCGTGGCGTGGATCAGGCCTGGTTCGAACTGGTGCGCCCTCCCTCTTTCCATCCCGCCCTGCTGCCTTCCGTCTTCCCTTGCCCTCCCCGTCCTCCCCTTCCTCCTCCTCCTCTTCCTCCTCTTCCATCCTCCTCTTCCCTCCTCCTCCTCCTCCTCCTCCTTCAGGCCGTAACCATCTTGGCCCAAGCCGTCCACCAGCGGACGCAACCCTGTTGCTCAAGCTGGCTAGCTCATGTGCGCCCAGGCTGGAGCGAGGGGGAGGTGCCGCGGTGGCTCTTGAGGGTGGCGCGGGACGCTGCTGCCCAGACGGGGGATGGTGCGGCGAAGGCATGCCCGAGGCGCGGCGTTGCTGGCGCTCGGGCGTCCGCAGATCTGCTGGTGCAGCGCCTCAGGGAACGGCAGACGCAAATAGAGGTTCGCCTTGCCTTCGCCGAGCGGGCGCTCGACGCCATGGTCGGAAGCAGCGAGGCGGCGCAGCGGGTCCGCGTATTGCTACCAGCATTGTTGGCAAAGCTGCAGGGTGGAGTGCCCGATGGGCTCGCAGCACTACGGCGCAACGTTGGCCTGCATGCGGGCGCCACCTGTCTGGACGTGTCGGTCGCCGACGCCGCGAACTTCCGACGGGCGCGACATGGGCCGCGCCTGGAGTCACGGAAGAAGCCAGCTGTTCGCCTTGCCGTCGAGGCCACGGTGCTCGGCACGCGGTGCACCTGCGGCGCAGTAGCCTTCTCGTCGTGCAAGGCGATGCTTGCAGGGGAGTCGCGCGGCACGGGGACGCCTCGGGCAGCAGCGCGGTGGAGCGTGCTTCGGGCCGATGTGGTATGCTTCTTGCCGCTTGAGCCCCTGACGCTCGACTCCGCGGAGTGCGAGGCGACCGATGGGCAGGAGGTCGACGCCGAGCTCGACGCGCAGCCCGACGCCGAGGACTCGCAGCCCGACGCCGAGCTCGACTTGCGGTTCGACGGGCCCGCGTCGCAGTCCGACGCAGGGGCCACCCCCCCCAGGGCCGCATGACGAAAGGGGCACTGATCATCAAGACCCCATGTGCGCCGTTGCGGGGCTGTTTGCCACAGCCGGGGCCGACCAAGCAGCGACGGTCGACCACCAGGGCCGACCAAGCAGCGACGGTCGACCAGCTCGAGGTTGCCACGGCCACGGCGTGCAGTCGGCCAGGAAACGCGTGGCGGAGAGCTCGCGCGCACGTTTCGCGCGCATGGCCCGAAGAGTTGTCTCCACCAGATGGCGCCGGCGAGGAGCCGAGGCCGCCCGAGCACGCCGCCGATGGGGCTCGACTCGGGGCCGGAACCCAGCGATGGGAGGCCAGTGAGACATGGGCACGGCTGCTTCGCGATGCCGATGCGCTCCGTGATTTTGTGTTGCTTCGTCCTCGGTTTCAGAGCTGCAGTGCCAACGGGGCCGATTATCGATTGGTCGGCCATACGTACAGAACCGTCAGGGGCAGCCCCAATCCCAGCAGCGGCGAGCGGCGGCAAGGGGGACTGCCCGCAGATGTGAAAGCGTGTCTTGAAGAGGGAGTGCCGGCATAAGTGGCGAAGACTCGTTTCTGTTTCATTAGAGCTTGGCACTCTTCTCATTTCTTGAATTGTTGCACACCTGTACTTCCACATGCCCACATGTACGAGCATGGTGTTGCATGTAGCTGTGTTCTGCTTACGGCGCCCAGTGTTGGCGAAGGCGCGAGGCAGGCGGGCTTTGGAGGCAGCCTCTGCTGAATACTTTTCGGTATCTGGCTTGTCTCGGCGCTCAGGAAGTTCAGGGAGAGTAGGGATGTGGTGTTACCCCCCCATTATCGCTTCGCGATTGTTCCGATTCCGATTATTCCTCCTCCTCCTCCTCCTCCTTCTCCTCCTCCTCCTCCTCCTCCTCCTCATCCTTCTCCCTCCCCAGACATTTTCGCGCCTTGAAGCAATCACGACGCAAGGCGTCTGGCCGTTTTCGGCCTTTGAGGGCTGCCGCCGGGCCTCGGGTCTGTCAAACAATGGCTCAGGGCGAAAAGCTGGCCCTTGGGGAAAAATGGTCGAGACTTCAGGGGACTCGGTATCGAAAATGCAAGACGTCACATGTCTGCATCCTCCCATTTCCTAAGTCCTTTCCTCGTTGCTTCCTTCCTCGACCCTTCACGTTCCCTCCCTGCCTCGTTCCCTCCTTCTCCTCCATCCTTCCTCCGTCCTTCCTTCCGACCCAGGCGACGCGTCGACGAATCTAAGACCCTTTTTCTCGCTCCCGATGCAGACACGTCCGCCCGCGCACTTTGATCGGGAGCCGGCGCAGCCCCCGCAACCCAGGAACGGTGCCCCGTTCAGCAGTGTCCGTCCCAACGGACGAGGGGGTGCGCCAGCCAGGGCCACTAGAGCGGCCTTCTCCCTCCTTCCGCCCCGCTTCCACGTGGGTTACTTGCTGACGCGGCTGCCAGCCAAAGATATGGACGTGGCGGCCACGCTGCGCAGGCGGTGGGTGGCGCCGCTGCGTTTGCGAAGCGTGTCCCGTGCAGTCGTTTCCGCAGCCTGCAAGGCCGCCCGTCGCGCGCCCGCGCGCTCGGATTGCGGCGCTGTGACCATGGAGCGCCGCCCGGTGCCGCGGCCACTCCGGGGCCCTGCGCGATGCGCCCGCCCAGCCGCCGGGCCTGGTCTGGGCCCGGGCCGGCCGGCGGTGCCAAAGCTGGGCTCGGGGCACCGCGGCGGAGGCCAAGGGCGTGGCCAGGGCGGCTGGTGTTGCTAGAAGTGCCTGTGGCCGAAGGTGTCCCGATGCTGCCCGTGAGCAGCCAGAGGGTTTTTGTTCCTTGGAGCGGCGCCGGTCGGCCCGCGCGCGCGGTGGGGTTTGGCCATTTTCGGGCCCGCCTGCGCGCGCTGGTCGCGGCCTTTGCCCGACGACCCTTCGCTTGCGCGGAGACCCACACCGCCTCCAGAGCACCCGTCCAAAATTGAACGAAAAATGGGAGGCACCTTGGCCGGGGACGCCCTGAACAACCTTCGAAACCCGCATCCAGGACCTCCATTCCCGACCCGGTGATTTGGGAGGTAGTTGCTGGGGGTGCGGGGTGCGGTCGGTTGTCTGGCCCCAAACAGGCAACCCGTGCATCCTGAAGACGCGTATGCAGAGAATTGAGTAAACAGTTTTGGCGGCGCGCCAAACGCGACCCGGAAGTAGTCCGCCAAACGCGCTGCGAAAGCTACGTTTGACGCAGCGGCCTGCCATCATCATACGTGAGGAAGCCTCATTGCGTACACTTCGCGTGCACTTACCGCGCAAAAGCAAAACCCCAGAGCATCCCAAAACCACCCCCGCCCCCAGCCAGGACCCCCCAGATCAGATCGCCAGGTCGGGAGTGGTGCTCCTGGCTGGGGCATGGGCGGGCTGCGCTGTCCTCATGGATGGCCCACAGGGGCCAAGGATCACGAGGGCAAGGACCGCGCGATCTTCGAGTTCAAACATGATCGCGGCTCGCCATGCCCCGAAACCGTCGAGGATGACCAGCGCGGGGAAAGGGGTCGGGATTTCGGAGGGCGCGCATGGAAAACATCAGGGCAACGCATGTGTGGGTCGTGATCTTCGCGTGTATCTGCCACTTTTTGTCTCCCCAATTAGAGCTGTGCGTAGCCCGCCTAGCTTTTAGCGGAAGGGGTTCGCTCTCGCCCCGCCGACCAAAAAGTGGATCTGTTTTTTTTGGCAGGGCGATACCCGACCACAGGCAGAGGGGGAGGCGGCTGCCAACTGGGGCCAACGAGCACGAGACGAGGGCGGGGGCCGCGTGATTTTCGACGTGTTCTGGCACGTCGACTGGCGACGTCCCCGACACCTACCTATTTCGGGTAGGCCACGT